GTGCACCACGTGGAGGTAAGTCTATCACACACCCCGTAACGACAACAATTAATAGATTTAAAAGAAATCCTGTGATCAAGGGAAGAGTTTTACTTCAGCGAAGCGCCATTGGTATCTAATGCATTCTGGAGATTAGGGTAGGTTCTTTTGCACTTTCCCTCTGAAGGATCTTAGAAAGTGGCTTGATTCTGTCTTTTAACTGAGCTATTGTAGTACTTCCTTGACAGAACGCAATACACCCATAACGGATTAAAATCTAAGGCGTTTGAAGGTAGTTGTAACATTTTACTGATAACTATTTGAAGTTTTTTATCCGAGGTGTGGCTATCTTATTTTCCTTTGAAATTCTCCGTTCCATATCGGATTGTCTTCTCAGTGTTTGAGGGGGGGGGGGGGGTAGGCATTGAACAGTGACCATGATCTTATAATGTTTTTTGATGTTGGTGCTAATTATCATGATGAAATTTTTTTTATACCATGATTCACGTGGGTTTCAGTCATTCATTCTCATTTCAATAACGCTCACGAATAAAGACGAGTCCACACTTTTAAGGTAAGGGTAGGCTACGCGAACACCTTTAACACTTAAAGAAAAACAACCATAATTGCAGATGCTCAAAATGGTGTTATTTTGCACTAAATGAGTGATTATGAGCTTTTTTCGTTATCGAATTTGGAGATCATATGCGTGTTTGTGTATCTCTCCGTTACTACTTCGTGTTTCTAGGCATGATATTTTGAATATCTTACTTCCACATTTCAGCTTAGTGCTTCAACCAAGCGTAGACGCCTTCACATTACTGAACCAGAGAGTTTAATTCTGAAGATATTTCAAGTGTTTTCCAAACTCTGTGCATCGCCCTACCTCAACCTCTCTTTCCTTCTTACCTCCACACAATCCTTTGTGGACCTCCTTCTCCCTCCTCCACTATCATCCCACGATACACGATCCTCAAGCCCCTTACTTCCTGGAATCAGTCTCGTTCGTTTGGTGCAGTTTGGTGAGGCGAATAGTCTTATCCACCGTCTTCGCTGCTACCCTATCAGCAGTGCAAACCTCTCAACTCCACCTCAGAGTGGTAGAGAAAAGCCTTCTACCACAAACACGGAAGCCCGTCTGTGGAACCTGCTAAGGGATCACATGATGGATGGTGTACAGTCTGTCGACGATCTAGTCTACGAGGCATCTGCATGGGCTATCAAATCTCAGACATCTACTCCTGTTCGAAATTCCACTAAGTTTTTGAGTGCCAGCGAACCTTCTCCTGTTCTAAACCCCAACCTCTCAGATGCTGTGGTAGAGTTTACTTCAAAGCTGCTGAAGGAGAAGGAGGAGGATTTGGCAAAAGGGAAGAATCCTAGAGGGTCTCTTCTTGCCGAAGTGACATCGTCATCGGTGGGAAGTAAAACTTCGTCGGATCAGGGATTAAATGAGAATTACTGTAACGCAATACACTTACTTTGGCACTAGTTGATTTTGTAACGCATACTTTACCTTTTTCTAATAACGGATTGCCTTCTTTGTCTCAGCTTTACTTATTTGCACTTTGAAGGATGGTTTTGAAGAGTTGTAGCCACTTATTTTACCACTGCTATTAGATATACCTAGGCAGAAGAGGGGGGAAGGCTTGTACTTTATTTAGCGCGTGCAATTTGTTAAACGTATCTTAAATAAAGATCAATATTTCTGCCAGATTTGTGACATTTATCATACTTGCCCATAAATTTTGAGATTGTGTCCCCTGCTTTATAATTCTTTCAGGGTTTTAACTGGGTTTTAATACTTGAAGTCAACTAAAGGGCTAATGATAACCATCAAGACGCCTGCCATTTAATATAATAATAATAATAATACTTGAATTTCATGGCTTTTTACTATCAGCTTCAACACTGACAGTGGTTGGGGTTGTTTTTGTGTATCAAGATTGTAATCTTGGTTGCTACAACTACGCAATCTATGTCGAGGTAATAGACTCTGTAGCCGATTATGGCCAACTGCAAACATGATCTGGGTGGCCTATCGTTCTTATCAATACGCTGGCGTACATGCCTACTGACAATTTGAGAGTAATATGACAATATTTCTCATTACTTTGGCGGTATTGTACGCTGAGTGAGTAAACTGCCTTGCAGTAACGACACTTCATCCTTATATTCCTGACCGGAACCGTGTCAGCTGTACTTCTTTTGGGAAGAAAAATCACAGTGAAAAAAAGGCGAGAGGAGGGGGGAGGAAGAGAAGAGTGTTTCAAAGATGTAAAAGAAACAGACGCAAAGGTAGAAAAAGGTGAGGTGATTACTGCGGAAGTAAAGGAATACGACATAGAGTGGGGGCGATGGTAGTTTGAAGTCCGAAGCCAACTGCCAGTTAATAGACTTGTTTGCCGTATGAGTATACGTTGCCCAGGGTGCACCACGTGGAGGTAAGTCTATCACACATCCCATTTAGTGAAATTTAAAAGAGTGCAACGAAAATCACTACTATAGCCTTGATGATGTCAGTTTGGTAGTTATTAAATCTACAAATCTACTCGAAATTTGCTTATCGTCAATGAATGCAGTTCTTTCCGCCTCAAATTTAATGAAGCTTTCGCTTTTGTGGTGTTTTTGTGGCATATGTACGCTGTGCTTTGTCCCCTGACAACTTTGTAAGCAATAATAATCTAGCAGTTGATAAATCAGTAAAAGTTCGATTGAAATCTAACTCACATAAATTTTATTATTATTATTA